TTGAATAGGGTAGTGGCTATGTGAGTGAAGAGAAGGGGAATTCAGAATCATAGGGCTTTTATTTGAATCCCACTCTTCTAAATACTATCAGTGTGACCTTAACATATGTTATTAATATTCTCTGGACCCTAGTTTCTTCATACATCACATGGGAAGCTCTTAATTCTGAATTGTATGATGCAAGGCTGATCAACATATGTAATGCAAAAAATGGGGTTGGTTATACAATGTATATTAGCAATAGTAGTTACAGTTATGTGACACTTTCTAATTGTACTTTAATAATAGTAGCTTGCATTTATATGGCATTTTAAGGTTAACAAAGTACTTTATATGTTATCTTTTTTAAAAAATCAATTTTATTTTATTTTCGGTTATGAATTCTCTCCCTTCTCCCCTCCCTGACCCAAGCAGAAGGTTAGAATTATGGATGTGTGTGTATCTCACCCTATATGTATAATAGCACTATATGTACATTATCTAACTTGGCTCTCAGACAAGCCTTGTGAGGTAGGTGCTATTATTATCCTCATTTTACAGATGAAGGTTTAGAGAAGCAAGAAGACTTATTCAGGGTCCCACAGCTAGTATGAGTATGAGCCAGGATTTGAACTCTGGTCTTCCTAATTCCAAGTCCATCTCTCTGGCCACTATTCCATGTTATCTATTTTACAACAATCCTCTGAGGTAGGCAGTACAAGTATTATTATCCCTATTTTGCCGATGAGTAAATGGAGCCTCAAACATGTTAAGTAAGTTACCCGGAGTCATGAAGTTAGTGTTAGAACTAGGACTTGAAACCAGATCATCAGACTACAAGTCTATAGCAGGAACAATAGGATGCTTGAAGGGTTGGAGGTGAGAGTGAGCCCAGGAAGGGGCTTACATGTACAACATACTGCCTGGGACCCATTTTGCTTCTGTGTAGAACGACTGAGGGGAGCAGAAAATAATTGACACCATAATTTCTATTGCACTATTTAGAGATGCTGGGAAGTAGGAACACTAGGGGCACATGAGTGGTTTGGTGGACACAAAACCTAGCCATTGGTGTATGAAAGAGCGCTTGGTATACATCGGTGGAATGAATTCAAGGGAGAGATTAGCAGAGATAGGAGGCATTGGACAGCAGCAACCACAGAGTTTGCCTTGAGTTTCCATCATTTTGCAATTTGGGGACAGGGTTCCATTCATAGGTTCTTGTTTCAATCTAGGTTTGCGGCTTAGGTAGCTCCAGTAACCCTGACTTAGTAAGCCGGGACTGGGGATGCAAGATACCGCCTTGTTAGGTGTGATCAGACCCAGTCTAGTGTTGTCTATACAAATTATACCAACTGAGCTTGTGTCACATATTTAGCTACTTTGTCAAAATGTGTACTTATTTATGTCTTATTTTTCCTGTGTGAATCGTCTTCCCCGTTAGAATATAAGCTCAATGAGAGTAGAGATCATCTCATTGTCTGTATTTGTATCTCTAACACCTAGAACAGTACATAGTAGTAGCCTGGTATATAGAAGGTGCTTAATAAATACTTGTTGATTAATTGATTCTTTGTCATAACAAAAAGTGCTGCTATAAATATTTTTGTGCATATGGGTCCTTTCCTTCTTCCTTTGATCTCTTTGGGGTACATGTCTAATAATGATGATAATGATAATAGCTATTAAGGTTTCCAAAATGCTTTAAAATATTATCTCTTTTTATCCTCACAACAACCCTGTGAGGGAGGTGCTATTATTATCCTTATTTTATATATGAGGAAACTGAGGCAAACAGAGGTTATGACTTGCCAAGGGTCACCCAGCTAACATACGTCTGAGGACAGATCTGAACTCAGGAAGAAAAGGAGAAAGGAAGGAAGGAAGGAAGGAAGGAAGGAAGGAAGGAAGGAAGGAAGACAAAGACAAAGAAGAAAGGAAACAGTCATTTATTAGTAGTCTACTATGTGCCAGGTACTGTGCCAAGCACTTAAATATTATTTCATTTGATCCTCATTGTCATTTCTCTTTCTAGTGCTTCCACCTGAGGTAAAAGGAGGGTTTTTCTCTTGAGATTCATGTTCTTTTATTCCTCACTTGGAAGACCCTTCCTTCCTCACTTTTTTTTTTCCTTTTGGTGAGGCAAGTGGGATTAAGTGACTTGCCTAGGGTCACACAACTAGTAAGTGTCAAGTGTCTGAGACTAGATTTGAACTCAGATCCTCCTGACGCCAGGGCTGGCACTCTATCCACTCTGCCACTATCCACCTAGCTGCTCCCCCTCCTCACTTCTCTAGGAGGTCAGCATTACCATCATAGGACACACACCAAAGTATAGTATATAAACAGGCAATTTATGGCACATACCTATTTTGTTACCAAGGGAGGGAGTCTTAAAGTATAAAAGATACACGACTTAAATGAATTACAGGTACATAATCTTATGAGATTCCATTACTTTGCAACCTGTTCAAAGCATTGATCCATTTATGTTGAGAGCTTAACTCCTTTGGCCTTAAACCTAGTAGAATCCTGAGGTTTCTTTTTTTCTGGGTGACCCTATTTCCACCCTCAAGTCCAAAGCTGGGCCTTATTTTCTCTTTAGTATTTTAAGAAAGCAGTATCTTTTCCACCTAGACAATCTATAAACCAATGCTTTGGTTTCAGATCAAATCTACTCTCCTCATATACCATCTGAATACCAACCTGATATATCCAGAATTCTGTCTGCAGAACTTTTCTGAGCTAGTTTCTCTGATCTGGCATACGGCTTCCTGCTTTTTTTTTTTTTTTTTTGCTTTTTTGGTGAGGCAATTGGGGTTAAGTGACTTGTCCAGGGTCACACAGCTAGTAAGTGTTATGTGTCTGAGGCCGGATTTGAACTCAGGTCCTCCTGAGTCCAGGGCCGGTGCTCTATCCACTGTGCCACCTAGCTGGCCCACAGCTTCCTGCTTAACTCTCTTTCAGTCTCCCCCAGCTCTCTATTCTGTCCTTCTCTAAAGCCTCCTCAGTTTATACCCTGCCCCTCAGAGTCACCATGAGGGATTCCAATCCCCCATCCAGGGATCACTGTACAATATTCAAAGACTTATAGAAGGTGATGTATCAGATGCAGAGGGGAGAAGGTAAGGACACCACAAACAGGATTTCCATTCTTATGTTGTTTCTTTTCCTCTCTTTTCTCTAGTGGAGCCTTTGGATGAAGTTCTTCCTTTTCTCCCCCTGACAATGTGCCAAAATCAAAGCTCTCCTCTAGGAGAGTTGAGAAGTTGAAGCTACCTACACATTCCCTTCCTCCTCCCACTTGGCTTGGAGTTAATGGTTCTCCAGACCTTGAATCAGGGTATCAAGATAATGGAACCCTTGGAGAGGTACCTATCTGTAACTTGATTCCACCTTTTTGTGTGTCTGCTACTTCTTTAGGGTTATTGTTAAGATGTATAATTCTTTATAGATATTTAAAAAATAGAATTATATGTTCAGGTTGAGTTGCAAATTTCACTGAAAGTCTATGTGTAATATACTTCATTAAATGCCAAATATATGCCCTCTCCACCTTCTTAAGGAAAGTGGTTTTTGGTTTTTTTTTTTTTAATTGAGATTTAGCTAATCTTCGGTTCTATGCTCCACAGACTTTGTGCTTGGAAAAGGGAGTCAGATGAGTTCTAGAATCCTTTTCCAGCTCAGTGGTGGTAATATGGGAGTTGTACCTCTACACGTTCATCTTTTCATCACTGTTTCTTCCCCAAAATAAAAGCAGCATAACCGCTAAAACCTCCAGAACTTAATTTTAGTCTAATCCCTTTGATTTGAATCAGACTGTAAGTATTTTTTTTTTTGACAGAAGGAGGGTTGGGGTGTTTTTGGTGCTATAATCTAAATTTTTGTTTCTGATGCTTCTGATAATTTACTTATACTCTTTCATAAAAATCAGATATTGCCTCATTGGAGTTTAGTTAAACATCATTCATCCCTTTAATTACAGTGAGGGTTTTTGTTTGTTTGCAGTATCTTGTGGGAATAGTTGATCTATGTTATCCTTTGTCCACTAACGTTAATTGGTGAACAAGGTTTCAAAACTTGAAAAAAAAGGCTATCCAAACTTCTTTCCCATTGCTACCCAACCAGGAGAACTTCTCAAATCATTGGAGCTCGGCTTTAGACAGGCTGGTTGCCTTACTCTACCTGACACATGCCACATTCATTCTTACTTCAGTCCCAATTTCCTGATACTATTCCCATCATCTGAAATGTCTTCCCTTTTCTCTCTGTCTATCCAAATCTTACTTGTCCTTCAAAGGTCAATTTACATCCTGCATTCGCTAACCACATCAAGGCCACACTGACCTCTACATTCTCTGAATTTCTGTAGGACTTCCTGCCTATATCATTCATTTTGGCAATCAATCATCTGTTTTATTGTTATTTAATTGTTTTTCATTTTAGCTCATTTCCTTACTGTTCACTTAATTGTTTGATTTTAGAATGATATATTTAGAAGCCAGAAAGGGACACTTTTATACATGAGGAAACTGAGAGATTAAGTGACTTGTCTAAAATCATACAGGCAATAGCAGAATGGGGATTTGAATGATCCCAAATCTAGTGGTCTTTTTACCGCATTCTATGGGGAGCAGCTTGTCTCTTCATTGCACAGTATTAGAGGGAATGGCTAATGTCATTTTATTTTTAAAATCCTCAGTGCCTAACACCGTGATGAACGAGTGAATGTATTTGCTTAGCAGATGGGTGCATCTGTTTAGCAGATTCCAAATTTGCTCACTTTCAAGACATTTTGTTAAAATTGGCCCTTTACTCTATACATTACATGCTGTTGATTGAAAATTTGTCTTATGCGCTCTTATCATTGTTATTCTTTTGCACTTTGGCCTTGAAGCATCATCTAGAAATCCTAAGGGGGTGACTCAGATAATGAAATGCCTTCCCTGTTTTCCTTTGTTTGGCCCTGGTGTCTTTCAAGGCAGCCAATGTTCTGTGAATAAGATGAAGTGTGGCCTCACCTGGCGTTCCCAAGCGGGCCTGAGCAATGGTCAATTTTTCATGGGGGGCTTGGCACTGGCAGCTGGTTTCATCTGCAAATGGGGCAGGTGCAGTCAGGGTCTAGAAGGGAAAAAGAAAAAGGGAATAGAAACTGACAAAGTTCCCTTACAAACTAACTTCCCTTTGCAACTTCATTGTTATTTTAGACCTCTCTGGTGTACAGGTGAGGGGACAAATATGTTATTATTAGAAAGTCAACTGTAATTAATATTCCTATAAAGGACATGAGCAGGGTTGGTACTAGGTGTTGGGCTTTCTTGACATAAACTCCAGTTATCACTTGTAAGTTGGTGAATTTTGGTTTTAACATTTTGATAAAATCTAAGCAGCCAAAGTCGCTAGCTCCTTGGGGATCCATAAGTGGAAGAAATGTTCATATTCCCAAGTTTTACACGTACTCATGGGCACGCAAATGAAAAACCTCTTTAATAAATAGACAAAACCAAACCAACAAACAAAACCAGCCTGGCTGATATCAATTTTGCTGTTAGCACATGCATTCTCTCCCATCTGAGTATCTTTCCCTCTCTGGGTTAAAACTGGGAAGTTCACAGTAATTCTGGTCCACGGGATTTAACTGCTTTCAGAAAGGCACTCAACAAATGAATAACTCCTGGGATACCTTGCTTGGGGTGGGTTCGGTTGCTTGGGGTGTTGTAGAGAGAAGCTAATAGAAAGAGTCAGCCACTTAGAAACCCACCCAGAAAAGTGGTATTGCACTTTTTAGTACAACTACTTAAATAAGAATTTCATTTTCACTTCAGGTCATGGAATTAGGCAAAGGCAACACTGGTTTTACAATATTAGGAATTATTGCTAAAACTGAGTGGCTCTATGTGCTTTATTCTAATCTCTCTAAAGTTCCTTGATTGAAATGATGTGAGTATTCCTTCCACCTATACAGATTGCAGCCCCCTAATAGATGATTTCATGAGTTGTTATGACCAAAACAGTTCATCATCTGTTTATTAATCTTTCTGTAAGCCCTATGTATGGGGCAGCTAGGTGGTGTAGTGAATAGACTGCTAGCCTTAAAGGCAAGAAGACTTACCTTTCTGAGTGCAAATCTGGCCTCAGACACTTTCTAGCTGTGTGACCCTGGGCAAGGCACTTAACCCTGTTTGCCTCAGTTCCTCATCTGTAAAATGAACTAGAGATGGAAATGGCAAACCACTCCAGAATCTCTGCCAAGAAAGCCCTAAATGGGGTCATGAAGAGTCAGACATGACTGAAACAACTTCAACAACTACAACAAGGCTATATATATTTCAGTGCATATATAATCTCATCGATATGAGTGTGCTAATCATAATCCAGCCATTCCTTTTTCTTGTGAGATTTTCACCTCTTTATGCCCCATAGAGGATAATATTGTAGTTGGATGTATGTATCAGCGAGTTGGACAAAACCATAAATGGCATGTTCGATCAGATTTGCAAATAACACAAAGCCAAGAAGGATCGCAAGCACACAGGAAGACACAATCAGGATCTGAAAATATTGACAAGTTAAAAGGAAGACACTGTTAAGTCATGGAAAGAGTGTAGGATTTGGAATCAGAGTAAATCTGTTCAAACACCAGCTCTGCCATTTGCTTTCCATGAGACCTTCAGCAAGATCCTTTACCTCCCTAGATATAGCCATGCATAGCATGCTTCATTAGGGTGTGCACTCAAGGACTTTCATTTTTCAGTTCTTTAAGCTGAACAGTTATTGAATACTCAATCAAATCAAACTAAAGAAATGAAAACTTGTCAACTTAATTTAAAAAAAAATTAACCACTGAACTACTTTAAAATATGAATTCAAAAAAATGAGACACAAAACACCAGTTTTATTTTGAGGCATTGGCATGTGCTTAGGTATACTTAGCCATACTATACGTAAATCTATGTCTCTAGATCTGTTTTCTCATCTATAAAATAAAGATACTGGAGATTACTCAAGGGTCTCTTCCAAATTTAAATTTATGATCCTAAGAGCCCTAAACTTTGCAACTTTGGCATCATCCTTGACACTTCCCTTCGCCTCTCTCCTCACATTTAATCAGTTTTCAAGTCTTGTCAATTCTACCTTCACAACATATGTCTCATTCATCCTCTCTTGGCTGTGGCCTAGTTTAAGCTTTCGTCACCTTTTGCTTAGATTTCTTATTTGGACTACTAGTTTACATTCTCTCGTCTCTATATTCAATCTTTGCCAACAAAATAATCTTCTTAAACAATAAATCTAACTGTTGAAGTACATTCAAGGCCCTTCTTAATCTGGCACCAGCCTTCCTTTCCAGGTTTATTTAAAATTACTCCCCTCTGGGTCAGCTAGGTGGCACAGTGAATAGAGCACCAGCCCTGGAGTCAGGAGGACCTGAGTTCAAATCTGGCCTAAGACACATAATACTCACTAGCTGTGTGACTCTGGACAAGTCACTTAGCCCCAATTGCCTCACCAAAAAAAATATTCCCTCCTATATGCTTTATGTTTTAGCCAAAATGGCCTACTTACTTTTCCCCTTTCTTGGTAATTCATCTCCCACTTCCACACCTTTGCACCGATTATCTCACATGATTGTAATCACTTCCTATCACACCTTTGCCTCAGAACCTATGACTTCCTGTTCAGACTCAACTTCTAAGTCACCTCCAACAGGAAGCCTTTCCTGATCATCCCAGTTAGGTCACTCTCTTCCTTCCTCAAATAATCATACCATTCTTATCTATTTACATATTGTATCCTCTCAAAGAAATATAAGCTCTTTGAGGACAAGGACTATTTTTCATTTTGTCTTTGTATCTCCAGACACACACAGTGTCTTGTTCATCCTTTTTTTTTTTTTTTTTGGTGCACTTCTATGATTTCACCAGTATAGGAAACTCAGTCCTTCCACCAATACCAACTGACAACATGCCTGTAAGTTCTAGTCTTGGAGCTCTACCTAGGACACTAAAACTTTAAATGACTTGCCCATGGTCTCACAGGTATTGGAACCTTTTGTCAGACACAGGACTTGAAATCAGTCTTCCTTTCTCTACACCCAGATCTTATTCCACTAGGGACGATTATCCTTAGATAAAAAAAACAAAAAATCCCAGTTCCAAAAATGGGAGAAGGCAGGAACAAATGGCAGTTGTTATTTTCTGTTTGTTTTTTAAGGACTCAGTGGGAAAGGTAGTGAACTGCAAACTCAATATAAATCAACATATCATAATAATAATTCAAATTTTAAAAGCTACTGGAATTTCAGCATGCATTAACAGACCCATAGTGTCTAGGATTTGGGTGGTGACGGTCCTGCTATGCTAGGCCTTGAACAGACCACCTTGTGTTCCATCCTGGTCAATGCATTTCAGGAGGGCCATTAATAAGGTGGAGATTGTGCGGAACAGGATGACCATGATAGTAGAGGGCCTTGGGATTATGCCACATGAAGAGTAGTTGAAGGAACAGGGGCCATTTAAGTCATACAAGAAAAGACTGGTGTGTGTGTGTGTAGGGGCTAGAGGGAATGATAGTTATTTTCAAGTGTTTGAAAGGTTGTTATGTGAAAGAGTACTAGATGTGTTCTGCTTGGCTCCAGAGGGTAGATGCAGTGGAAGTTAAAGAGAAGAAATTTTAGGTCTAATGTAAAAAAAAGGAGTAGAGGGTATTAATAGGACTGCAAAAAGGACATTGGCAATTGGAGACATTTTTACAACACAATCTTAGACATTGCAAACTGACCACTAGTCACCATGCACCAACACTCTTGTGCCCTACTACTGTGCCCTAATAGAACTAAGGTCCAAATGTTAAAGATTCATTCAATTATTTAATAAACGTTTAGTAAGCATCTATCATAGGCAACAAACAATGCTAATGAGATATAAACGAATACAATACTTTATTCCTATTTTAGCGAAGTATAGAGATTTGACCTCTGCAACATCTCTCAAATACGCCTTCTCTCCTCTGATATCACCCTAGAATTATATATAGATAGTATAGAAAGTATAGATAATGCCCTTATTTCCTCATGCCTGGACTATTACAATAGCCTGCTGGTTGGTGTGCCTGTCACAAGTCTCTCCCCACTCCAGTCCATTTTCCACTTAGACTCCAAAGTGATTTTCCTTGAAAAGCATAAGTCCATGTCACTGTCCTACTCAGTAAACTTTGGTGGCTCCCTATCACCTCCAGGGTCAAATATAAGATCTTCTGTTTTGCATTCAAAAATCTTTATAACCTAGCCTCCCTCTTTTGCAATCTTCTTATACTATACACCCCACTTCTTGCCCCCCAACATACTCTTCAGTTCAGAGACACTGGTCTCCTTGATGTTCCCCGGACAGACGTTCTATCTCTAGGTTCCAGGCCTTTTCTCTGGCTCTCCCCATGCCTAAAATGCTCTCTTTCCTCATCTCTGCCTCCCAGCTTCTCTGACTGCTTTCAATTCCCCACTAAAATCCTACCTTCTAAGGAAATATTTCCAATCCCTTTTAATATTAGCACCTTCCCTCTCTTGATTATTTCATATTTATTGCATATATCTACATCTTGTTTGTATACAATTGTACATAATTGTTCACATCTTGTCTCCCCCACTAGATTGTGAGCTCCTTGAGATCAGGGACTGCCTTTGCTTTTCTTTGTATCCTCAGGGCTCAGCATAATTCCTGGTACGCAGTAGGAACTTAATAAATGTTTATTGACTGACTGATTTTAAGAAACTTGCACTGAGCAGAACTACCTAAGGCTTGGCTCAAGTCAGCAAATATATCATTGATTATGTTTTATTAAGCACACACTCCATGCTTAGGGCTATGCTGATACTATAGGAAGAGAGGGTGTAGCACAGTGGAATGAGCACTGACTCTAGAATCATGAGGATATGAGTTCAGATTCTATCTTTTGTACTTGCTATCTGTGTGACTTTGAATAAAGCATCCCTGAGTCACACTTTCCTCATCTGTAAAATTGGGGGATTGTGTCATATTTCCTCTGAACTCATTTTCATCTCTGGATCTAAGATCCTATAGTAAGTATAAGATGATGTAAACAAGCAAAAAAGTATAAAATAAATCATA